ATGCTGGAGGGTAGGGATAGGGTCCAGAGTAACCTAAACAAATTAGAGGATTGGGCCAAAAGACAAGGACGAGTGCAGAATCCTGCACTTAAGACGAAAGAATCCTATGCACTGCTACAGACTAGGGACCAAATGGCTAGGCAGCAGTTCTGCAGAAAAGGACCTGGGGTTACAGTGGATGAGAAGCTGGATATGAGTCGACAGTGTGCCCTTGTTGCCAAGAAGGCTAACGGCATTTTGGGCTGTACAAATAGGGGCATTGCCAGCAGATCGAGGGACGTGATTATTCCTCTCCATTCGACATTGGTGAGGCCTCATTTGGAGTACTGTGTCCAGTTTTGGGCCCCACACTACAAGAAGGATGTGGAAAAATTGGAAAGAGTCCAGCGGAGGGCAACAAAAATGGTTAGGGGGCTGGAGCACATAAGTTATGAGGAGAGGCTGAGGGAACTGGGATTATTTAGTCTGCAGAAGAGAAGAATGAGGGGGGATTTGATAGCTGCTTTCAACTACCTGAAAGGGGGTTCCAAAGAGACTGGATCTAGACTGTTCTCAGTGATAGCAGATGATAGAACAAGGAGTAATGGTCTCAAGTTGCAGTGGGGGAGGTTTAGGTTGGATATTAGGAAAAACTTTTTCACTAGGAGGGTGTTGAAGCACTGGAATGGGTTACGTAGGGAGGTGGTGGAATCTCCTTCCTTAGAGGTTTTTAAGGTCAGGCTTGACAAAGCCCTGGCTGGGATGATTTAGTTGGGGATTGGTCCTGCTTTGAGCAGGGGGTTGCACTAGTCGACCTCCTGAGATCCCTTCCAACCCAGATATTCTATGACACATTTAATGTAATTCTTTACTTGTTACTAACAACAGCTTAGATTTCAAAACTGAAATAATTTTAAAACTTAATTTACTTATTACTTTTCTTTTTGCATTTCTCTTAGCTTGTCCAATGAAAATCAATTAAGTCAGTTTCACTTTTGTTCGTGACCAATTTCAGGTTCTCAGTGTTGCCATGTTTGTGTTGCAAACAATTTATGAGTGAAAATAACTTTTCTTTTAAGCTTTAAAATACCCTGGAAATATTTCAATTGGGTTTAGATTTTTAAAAAGCTATTCTTTCAAAATCTAAGTATCTAAATTTGGGTTCAAATATGAGGAGACCATTCTTTTAAATCCCAAATTATATAAGATGTCTACCATTTAGGCATAGTGAAAAGACTAGCACAATTTCTAACAACTTTGTTGCAATCACCAAAGTCTTGCTCTGTTGGTTGATGTGAGGTACTGCTATCATGTACTGTACTATTACAATGTAAGTGGATCATGTTTCAGAACCAATAAAACTAATACTGATCAATAAGGCCTCAATTTTCAAACTTTCAGTCACATCCATCACTTTATACATGTGAGTAATCACACTGAATTTAAATCTTTTAGTCTGGAAAATAGGTGTTTGTCAACATTGATTTGTCTGCTTACAGCCCATATCAGTAATGAAACATGGTGGTATCACTGTTTTTAACCTTTCCAAAATCCATAATGTGTCTGAGCTGGTGGCTAAGATGTTAGCCCAAGTTCACATCTTGTACTTGGACTATTGTTACCACTTGATTGGTCTTCCTGCCTTATCTATTACCTATTTGCAATCCCTTTGGAAAGCAGTAGCATTCTTAACTTTCTCATCACCTTGTAGCTCCAGTGTCACACACCTTTATTTAAGGAGACATTCTGGCTTCTGATCATCCTGAAGAACATGTAATCTCTTGTTATTTGTAAGCATTGAAAATTTTCATTCCTTAGCATCTCCATGTGTATGCAGTTTGATTTATACTTGCACTCTTAGGTGGGCTTTACCTTCTGGGTGAAATGAATTACTTGTCTTGTCTTTGTACCAGTGCAATTTTTAAGTGTAGGGTTTTCTCTGATGTGGTTCCATGTTGGTGGGATGCTCCTCCATTTGATATCTGTGGGTGCTGCTATGTTTATATATTCATTTTGCACAGCATTCTGTTACTAGGAAAGTGTCTGTCTTATAAAGCAGTAACATAATAATCATTTAAAATTTTCATTGTCATATCAGCATTAATCAATCAGTCCTTGTAACACTCCTGTAGGTAAATAAGACAGTATTTCCATTTCACTAATAGAAAAACACACAGAGAGAGTAAATGACTTCTTTAACTGCATATATTGAGTCAGGGTAGGAGACTTGAAGAGTTCCTGGTTCCCAGGCCCATAGACAGTCCAATATCTGAACCTCAGTCACCGAGGACCTGTCTTCATTGCTACACATTTCTCTAATGTAACTGCATCTATATAGTTACACTGGCGCAGACCCATTAGCAAAGAGATGCTCCACTCATACATGACTTACTAGTGATTTACTGGGATAAGTCATGCGGGTGGTAAGCCCCTCTTCAGGTTATTGCAGAGTGTCTACTTTATGGGTTTGAATCAGTTGTGTACTATGTATATATTGTTTTAATGTAGTATGTATTTACACTGGCATAAATACATCAGTGTAGTTACAGCAGTTCAAACTTCACCATTGTAGACAGGGCCTAAGAGGCATATCCTCCTTGCTCATTTCTATGTGTGAGAAACTGAAATTCACAGTATCACCTGAGCATATGTCTTTCTAATGATTGCTTAGCTAAGAAAACAAAGAATAAATAGTTTGAAATATTATTTGGGTGATTTTCAGTAATTAAAATGACAAAATATATGCATAAACATTTAAGTAGCATGACAATAAAACATGCACAAATATGGCTTTTCAAAAAACAATACTGTTTTCATTTAGAAATTCATTCACAAACTTCCTTTTTCACAGCTTCCTCTTCATTTCTTTCATCCATACTGTAGGAGTCCTTCTAACTAGTTGTTGAAACCAAAATGTGCTTAATTTTGAACATGTTTTGCTTGCTTGCCTTTAAAAATAAATGTAAAGGTTCTGGGCAATTTATTCTTCTTGATTTGAGCTTATTCTGGTAATGTTTGATCTCTAAATACATGCTGAGAATGAGGTCCTAAATCAGTTCTTTGGTACAAAGTTAATAGTCATACACTTTGCTATTCTATTCCAAGTGAAATATCAGCACTAGATGTGCCAGACAGTGAGAGATCCAAAGTAGCCATAGCTCTTTCTCTCCCCACTAACTCATTGTAGGGATTTGTGTTGGTGATTATCTCTTTTCTAGTTCTGAATGACTGGAGTTGTTGCTATGATCCTCTTGCTTGATCCACATTGTTGCAATGGGACTAAGGTTGAAATCCGCTTCTTTGCACAAGGCCCCCTCAATTTCAGATTAAACCCTCAAATTAGGATTGCCTGGCCCTCTGCATGGGGTGGATTTTACAGTGTACAGAAATGCGTGATTCCAGATTGCCAAGATGATTGTGAATTATCACTGGGCCAATTCCTGCAGTTATATCTAAGGGCTGGTCTACACTAACCCCCCAATTCGAACTAAGATACGCAACTTCAGCTACGTGAATAACGTAGCTGAAGTCGACGTATCTTAGTTCGAATTTACCGTGGTCCAGACGCGGCAGGCAGGCTCCCCCGTCGACTCTGCGTACTCCTCTCGCCGAGCAGGAGTACCGGAGTCGACGGCGAGCAATTCTGGGTTCGATTTATCGCGTCCAGACAAGACGCAATAAATCGAACCCAGAAGTTCGATTGCTTGCCGCCGAACCAGCAGGTAAGTATAGACGTACCCTAAGTGAAACTCCCATTGACTTCACTGGGAGTCTTGCCAAAATAAGGATTTGCATCTAGAGTAAGGACTTTAGGATTTAGCCCATTCTGCTTATTACAGTCATTACTTTGGCACTGGGAAGTTTCTGGATTTATCCTTGTTTTTAGTTCAAAATAAATTCTTGCTTGTAATATCTCCCTCCTTCCTCTGAGTCTTATGATTCAGGTTATTGAATGTGTCTTTTTTCTTCAAGAAATTTTTTTTGTGGCTACCTCACTTCCCATTTCATACTCATAAATGGGTGATCAGACCCCACAATGTTCCTCATGAGGGTCAGCCTTGACATGCTCAAGTCAAGGTATTAACTAGGGCTGTCAAGCGATTAAAAAAATTAATTGAGATTAATCGCACTGTTAAACAATAATAGAATACCATTCATTTAAATATTTTTGATCTTTTCTACATTTTCAAGTATATTGATTTCAATTATAACACAGAATACAAAGTGTGCAGTGCGCACTTTATATTTATTTTTTATTACAAATATTTGTACTGTAAAAACAAAATAGTATTTTTCAATTCACCTAATACAAGTACTGTAGAGCAATCTCTTTATCATGAAAGTTGAACTTACAAATGTAGAATTATGTACAAAAAAACCCCTGCATTCAAAAATAAAACAATGTAAAACTTTAGAGCCTACAAGTCCACTCGGTCCTATTTCTTGTTCAGCCAATTGCTCAGACAAACAAGTTTGTTTACATTTGCAGGAGATAATGCTGCCCCCTTGTTCACAATGTCACCTGAAAGTGAGAACAGGTGTTCTCAGGGCACTGTTGTAGCTAGCGTCGCAAGATATTTACATGTTAGATGCGCTAAAGATTCATATGTCCCTTCATGCTTCAACCACCATTCCAAAGGACATGTAGAATAAAGGTTAATACTAGGGGAAAGCTGTAATTTAGATTGGACTAAACTAACACATGTTAACTAATCCTGACCTAATCTTGTCCTCTCTTCCTAAACTGGACAAAGCTAAAGACTCAACTCCTGCAGTTGTTTCTCAGGCAAAACCCCCAGTTGAATCTGGAGAAAGGATTGCAGGATTTGCCTTTTAACTTGTATCTATCATATGAAGCATTTTAAAAACTCCTGAAGGATTTGCACTCATTTAAAAAAAAAAATGGTTGTGAGTTTCCTCAGGTCTTGATATGCTCGGTACCCTTCATAGTTCTCCTTTTCCTCTGTAGGGGAAGTGTTTGTTGTTTTGCTGCAATTGTTTTTATTTCTTTCTCTTTCTAGACTGGCAGATAGCGACTCTCGCTTTGCTTCTGGGCGGTGCTACCATCATTCTCATAGCTTTCCTGATTGGTTTGATCTCGATCTGTGTGGGGTCTCGGAGGCGGTTCTACAGACCACTCGCAGTCATGCTCTTTGCAGCAGGTAAATAAACTAATCACTTCCAGAACTGTGTTTAAAATGTTATGAGCACAGCTTCACTTTCATGCAGTAGATGTCCACTGTAGTCATAATAGTTCAGAGACATTTTGTTTGTCTTATGCTAAATAGTATTAAGCATTTTTGGGATATCAATTTTGTAATTGGTCAATAATTTTTACATTTGCACTCTTGCAGCTTCTAAATCCAATGCAAACAAATAATTATTGTCTGAAGTACCTGCTGCATGAGGGACTGCAGGGAATAACTCAAAAGTATCAGTTTTTTGAGTAGGTTATTTTGTGTTGCTTCATGTCCCCCTTTTTTCTTCTTGAAGCCCATTCTGATAAGTTTTCATGTTTTTTTTTAAATTTTGAGATTGAACAATTAATTCGTAATGGTGAATGAACCCTTGAAGCCATAAAGATGAAAATAAACGCGATTAAATTTTAAAGGTGTTTATTTCTGCTCCTGCACCACCAGAGGAATTAATTTAATTGGTTAACTCTTAGTTATTAATTTTAACGGTTGTCGTATACTGTAAAGCTCTTCTTTGATTTTCAAAGCACCAAAGTGGAACAGTTTATGCAGAGATACAGGGAGACCTCAAGAAAGACCTTTAAAAATAAATAGGCCCCAAGAATTCTGCAATACAGTATATAACTGCCATACCAAATCCTGTCTTATTATGCATTCTGGTGTTTTTCGGCTTGGCCGGTAAATGATATATTCCCCCTCCCCCTCGAGATCCACCAAGCATGGCTTCCCTTCATCCTGTCAATCATATCTGTGCTGGAGCCAACAGATTAAGCCTCTCTGATAGCCCATAATGAAGAGACTGACAGATACATCTAGTCTGCTAGATGGATTTAAAAAAAGCCATTTTCAAGGATATGAAAAGATAGGCTTTTAGAATTTGAAGGGTATTTAGAGCTGAAACAAAGCTCTGGGGAAGGATCCTGCTGCCCCCTGCTGTATGTATTAATACAGTTGGCCTGCTGCAATTTAGCAGGGATAGGGACACACTTTTATGCATGTAATATTACTGTTTTCTGTCTCATTTGCTTTTACTGAGAAAATGCAAAATGGGTTCAGAAATCTTGAGTAGAAATGGATCTTTTTGATCTGTGTGTGAATTAACTGACTCATGCCCACTAAATGAATGCACTAGTCTCTCTCTTATTTTTTTTAAAAACTCACCTTCAACCATAACATTATAAAACACTCCAGGCAGTTAATTTCTAGGGAAATGGGATTATTGTACTTCTCTGGTGGTTTCTCATTTGGCCTTTGACTCCATGTCTCATAATACTGTGCAGTAATTGCCCAGAAATATACTGCCTATCATGACTTATTGCTTAATTAATATCTTATTAAATTTTGTAGCTTTTTCTTTTTTTACAAAAGCCTTGCTTTCTCTTTTCGGAGAGAGCCGGAGAAAGAATCCCAATGTTTTCCACTGGGATTAAAATAAATTTGCTTGTTTATTACAACAATTCTGGTCTTCACACTTACCTACATCAGTATGACTATATTAATGCTCTACCATGTGGAAGATAATTTACCTGTTTCCTTTACCCTAGGTTGTTTGTATTTAAGAGCCATGGCCCAAAATGTGTTGGAGGGAGGGATATGGTGAGGCCAAGAAGAGCTGCCTGTGCAACGTTGCCTGGCAAATCTGTGGGGAATGGTTTTGGGATTTAATGCTGATGTTGTCATTTGTTCCTAAGGGTCACAGCTCGTTCAACTATCTTTGGAGTTGGACAGGGGCCAGGAATCACCTGCGAGACCTGTGATGCTATTGGGGACATCTAGGTTGGAGCACAGAGGCATTTGCCTTCCATGCAGATGTCTCTAGATTCAGATTGTCTTTGTGGATTTCAGAATATTTTAGAGGTTGTAGGGTTCCAGCTCTAGGAACCTGCATGATTGTGCTTAAGAATTTATTCCCCCTCCCTTCAGATGGAGATATCTACTCCAGGTGGAACAAAAGAAGTGCCTAGAGCCACTGACTGTGTGTGGTGGGGGCAGATGAGAATGTGTAAGGATGGGAATCAGCCCACTTCATATCACATGGTGAGAGTGGCCTCCAGAGACTTTAGATTCTGGATAATTGTTGAGGGCTTTTGTGATTGGCTACCACTTTTATTTTTTTTTCTCCCAGCAAAAGGCCTTAGCTAGTAAGTATGTGTGTGTGTAGTAGGATACTTGGCGAGTAGGAAGACAGAGGCACAACAGGTAATAAAGCAACCCTGGCTAATTATTGAGAGTGGGCCAACACAGGGCAGAAGGTTAGCTAGAACAGCAGATAGGGATAGTTTACGTTATAGTACACATTTGAAATTAACAATGGGTAAGTAGAGGAGCAATTGAGGACAAGTTATATTTAAAAAAAATAAGAACAAAAACAAGCCCCTCCCCTACAAAACACTGTGAAGCAAACAAGATGCTAGTCAATCATCACCTGATCACTTTGCTTGTTTGTATATCCCACTACCCTTGGTATGTCTTGGCCTTTTAGTTTGTATACTCTCGAGGGCAGAGGCTGTCTCTTCCTCGTGCAGCACCTATAATAATGGAGCTCTCATCCAGATAGTAGTTTTTGAGCACTGGGCAATATAAGAAACTACTAATAAAGTGAGCAGGCAAATGCTGCCCCCTGTTTGCAGGATGTGTCAGAAGCTTTACACACTGAAACTTGAAGAGTGTCCCCAAAGGGATTTCCATAGTAGGGCATTAGTTAGTTGTGAGTATTTAAGCATGATCTAGTTTTAGAATAATGTATATTTCATTTGTATTTTGAGTTACACTCTTTGGTAGGGGCTCCTGTCTTGGGTAACTACTTGTGCCAAACTCTTACCGCTTGTTTTGGGGCAGAGACTCATCCTACAGCCTTTAGAGAGACAGGAATTCACCCTGAAATCACTGCAACACCTTTATCAGCAAACACACAGTCCAAGTGCCCTTTTGACATCAGTCCCTCAGCTATGGTGTCAGAGCCTGTATTTCCTCTAAGCTGTGTGCTGGGGCATCTGCTCAGGACTGATTGAAGTGCCGCGCAGTTGATTAGCAGAGCCGCTCACATCCAGCTGGCAGCGTGTATTCAGGTGCCTCCCCCCCCCCCCCCCCCAGTGCTTCACGTTGCTCCTGCCCTCTGCCTTGGAGCCCCTGCTGCTCCTGGGACTCTCCTGCTGGCTGTGCAGAGTGGATGGGGAGGGGGGTGCTGATATCAGGATGTCCCCCTGCCCCTGTACTCCAGCAGGGGAGAGGGGACAACCTCGAGGATCTGAGGTCTGAATGCTGTTCCAGGTGGTGAGTGAGTGCCTTTACCTTAAAGAGACAGCGCACGGTCTCTCAGAGACTTCCCCAGCGCACACAATCTCTGTCTGTCTCTCTCTGTCCTCTCTCTCTCACACACACAGTCTGTATGTCTCTCTATACACACACACACACACACACACAGTCTTTCACACTCACCTCCCAACACATACTTATGTTATTGTTGTTTGTTGTTACTTCTTAGTACTTCCTGCAGTGAACATATATTCTCTGTAATTTTAGTTTTTTGACTGGTCTATGCATTTCATAATTTTTATTTAATGCTTTGAGTAGTGAGTTCTAAAATGCCTAACCTTTCCTGACTAGAGTAATTATCTCTATGGTAACTTTTAAAAAATATATATTATATCTCGGTATTTTGTTTCTACTGGTGGCGCACATCCATATATTACCTCGGTGCACATAACAAAATTTATTTCACACCTGGATGGAAAAAATTAGAGGGAATATTGGTCAGGGCTCCTACTTATCTTTGTGTTCTGACCAATCCTTGCATACCGTTTCTGTGACATAACCCAGGGTACAATCTGGACCACTGGACAGCTGTGTCTCCTCAATTCTCCAATCTGGGGTACCTTTTCCATTGCTTTCCCGTGAGAGCAACCACTGCTGGTCTGCTCACACACAGCCTCCAGCATGTAAGTTACTCTAAGTTATACTGTCTGAGTGCTATAGCCAGACACTAATGAATTGCAATGCAGGGCAACACCAGCAAACTCCCAGTCCCAGACTTTCCCCCAGAAATGTGCATCTTATACTGCTCTGCACCTGCCCTGCTGGACAATACAAGCTCATATAAAGTCCGTCATTTCATTAATAGAAAATGATATGCTTGAATCCTGTTATCCCAAATGAAGTTTCCCAAACACTTCAGTCCAAACACACTGGTTTAGATAAAACAGATTTATTAACTGCAGAAAGATAGATTTTAAGTGATTACAAGTAATGAGGCATAAAAGAATTGGTTACAAAGAAACCAAAAGTTATACACAGCTTGTTAAGTTAGGTATTAGTTAAGTGACTTCAAAGCAAAGGTCTCGCTCATCACAAGTTCCCCCTGTCTTAGTGGCTGAATGTTTGTCAGGATCCCTCCCCAGTCCAATGCTACTCCTTTGTTCTTCAGGTGTTGTTGATGCCATTGGTAGAGAGAAAGGAAGAGATGATTTGGGGCGTTTGCTCTCTCATCTTGTAGTTATTTCTCTTGTGCAAGAATTGTCTCCAGCTGAGGTGCAGGAGACAGAAAGTCTGTGTGGACAGGAACCTCAAGTTGCTTCTTTGTCAAAATTCAGATTCTTTGCCCACAGCCTCTCTCATGCTGAAGAATGGCCACTTAATCAGGTGATGGTCCATTTGATCTCGTTGACACCTGGCTGAGGCATTGGCTAGCCTTTTGTGGCCATTCTTCTGGAGAAGTGGTTTGTGACTGCACGCCGGAACATGTTGGAACATGTAATATCATACAGTGGAATTTTATAACTTCACATACTATGTGGCCACACATATTTTACCAAGACAATAATGATCAGCAAGCCATACGGTTTCAAATGATCCCTCACAATTCATACTTTGTACAAGTTTTACCATGATCCTCTAAAAGGTGTGAACATAGGGGTACACACTGTCACAGTTTCATACCTAGAGACCTGCCTCCCAGCCCAAAGATCAGA